TCAAATCTTATTATTACAAACAGTTATGTTTATATTGTTGGCTTTAAGAATTATTGTACATCCAATAAACAAATAACCAAAAAATTTGAATTTTGTCAGTTTGACATGGAGGATAAACTATTTGGATTTCTTCCCAAATTGAAGTTCATGGACAAATCAACGTATGTTCAATCTGACACCAAGAAATACGATCAAGTGAGTATTATGTGCCGTGATAAAAGATGTAAGAATACGAATCATTTGTCTGTCAGTGTCCCACGTTAATTGTCCTTATTAACAATGTTAATAAATTTGGATGATGACTTTGAATAGGATTGGCAACTGATGTTTCATTTTCATTGGTGTGCATGTATACATCATAAGTTAGCAAGCTGTTTTTCAAATCAGAAAGATTGTATACATATAATTTTCTTCCCATTTGTCAAGATGTCTGCCGAATGCAGGAAGGATATTTCCTGTTTAAATGCATATATATTATCACTAATTACCACATTCTTCCCAAGCTCTACAATCTTCTCTTTGTACCATCAATCACATTTAGAACAGAAATGTAACCAAGTATTTTATTAGAACACAATTTTGAAAGCCATTGTTATCCACATTATAAAATTCAACCAACTCGATTAAATTAATAAATATATAAACCAAACTTTATACAAGGAAAATAAATATTGCATCACTAAAACAATTTCATGAAATTATACATAAATATGTGTTTATTCAAAAATGATGATATTGGAACTATCAGAATTTCAGCTGCTTTTAGGTATTAAAATATTGGTAGTGTTTTTAAATTCCTATGAGATAATAATTTATTTCGATGCACCGTTGATATATCATTTTTCTGTTCATTTAAACATCTATCAATTTATATATAAATTATACTATTTTTCTTATTCAGCTTGCATTCAAATATCTGGGAATGTTACTTTTCCCACTTCTTGCTGCTTATGCGGTGTACTCCCTTATATATGAGGAACATAAAGGTGTATATTCATTCATCCTGGGAATGCTTTATGGATTTTTATTGACGTTTGGTAAGGTTATATCACAATAACATATTTACTTTGAAAAATCTTACCAGTGAATATTGACGAACTTGTTTGTTCTTGTCCACTATTTTTTGCATTAGGTTTTATTATGATGACACCCCAATTGTTTATCAACTACAAACTAAAATCTGTCGCCCATCTGCCATGGAGGATGTTGACATACAAAGCGCTCAACACTTTCATTGATGACATTTTTGCGTTTGTGATCAAGATGCCGACTATGTATCGAATCGGCTGTTTCAGAGATGGTAAGTCTGTTTTCCACTGATTAAGTCATACTATACATGATACAAACTAGTACTGTATTTTGCGACCAAGAAGCACAATTTAGATCCTTTTTTATTGTCAAAAATCGATTATGCACCTTATAATATGCTATCGTTTCCGTTTAATAAAATACAGGGTGGTCGCTAGAAAAACAGAAAATTTGTGTGTAATGTCTTAACCTAGAAGTCCAAGGTTGGGTGGCATTTTGAAGGTTGATTTGTGGAATATCGCTCCAATTCAACCTATACACACTTATTCGTGATCTCATCTGACCTTCAAATTGAATTTTTTTACAGATATTGTGTTTTTTATCTATCTTTATCAACGCTACATTTATCGTGTCGATCCTAAAAGGGTTAATGAGTTTGGAACAACTGGAGAAGATCATGAACAAGTGTCTTCCGGAGAAGCTTCCAATTCTACTGCTGCTATTGCTAATGGTGATGCTCAGAGTGACAAAAAGAATGATTAGGTCATTCTCAGTTCAACAGTCATATGTACTTTTATGTCAGTGTTTTGTATCAGAAGAGGATAAATTAATTAAATCTAATTTGTCAGTGATTGATTTGTCGTTTCACCATTACCCCTTTTCTGCATTCTTGGGAGTTTATAATATTATCTCATGATGTTATTTTGTTTGTGCAATGCAGTCATTATTAGCATCGTCTCCAGTCCAATTAATGCTTCAATTCTCAAGTTTGTGTTTTGTCATGACGTGACACATTTTGTTTTATGCCATATTGAGAATTTTGTATTTTATGTCAAATCAAAAATAAAAGGTTTCTGCAAACTTTATGACTTGTTGTCGGTGTTATTTTTGTCATGGCTTTAAAGATTATTTTTTGATTGAGGTGTGCACATATGTAATGAAGAAGTTGCGTTTGTTGATGAAGTATATGAGAAATTGTTTTGAGAGAAATTCCAGAAAGTTCAAAAACTGCTGAACATAGATTATTCAAAAATGACCATATCATCATCCTGGAATGTCTTGCAAGTCGCTAGACGCTTAAATTTCACTGAAGATTTCATTTCCTGCTATTGACTAGGTCAAAGAAAATTTTGCGATATCGACTAGGTATTATTTTAAGGGTAGTGCTTATATTAAAATCATTTTTAAAATTCACGTTAGGTCTTATTTTCGGGAAAACACGGTATGGGTACAATGTTCGTAGGTCCGCGGATGTGAACCATGCATGATATAGTGCCAAAATCTGTTTGTACAAGAAAGAATTAACATGTAGATGAGAAAAAAGTAGAGAACGAAAAATTTGTGAGAGCAAAATTTACGTCCAGCAAGTTGTTTACCACCCTTGTGCTCGTTTTGTATTGTTACGTCATAATGGCGTCTACTGCTGTGATATGTTTTTTATCTTCTTAAAAAATCAGAAAAGTCCATGCTTCCGAAAACAGATAACTAACTAATCGCATACCCGACATGTAATGGTAACCGAGAGGCCGTGGTTCGCCATATGGTTAAGCCGTCTTATCGACTTTCCTCTCCCCCTGGATAAATATGTAAATCCCATCCTAGAAAACCCGCTGGTGGAAATGCCCTAGGGTGAAGATGGTTGCAAATACATGTGGGTGCAAATGCGATTTATAAAATCCGGGGATGCAAATGTCCTACATGTACAATGTGCAAACTTATCGAGGTCCAGGCGTCATGGGTGCCAACGCAAAGATACAATGGACTTTTGCATACATTGTAAAATTTTGATCAAATGTTTTCTTGGTTTGACAAAATGAAATAAACTCTCTCTCTCTCTCTCTCTCTCATTGAGTTTACAGCAGCAATTAAAAGCTTTGCATCGCCCTAGGATACTGCAATGAGCATGTATATATCCTCATTGGATACCTGGTGCTGTGGTAGCATTTTTGTTATTCACCGCACGAAATGAAATTGTGATGAAATCGTTGGCTTATAGAATTGTGTTAATGAAGTGATTTCAAAATTCGTTTTGATAGGAATTGAAGAAGTTATCGCTCGAAATAACTGTATGTACGATATATCTGCTAAAAAATATTTTTTATTATCTGATAGCTACGTTCCGCACAGGAACTACACTTCATTCATAAACTCGGGAACGGCTGGTAATACAGTGATAGCTTTGCCAGATGACGTAGACCAGCTTGGACTGGGGCATCTGAGTTCTACAGTAAACAGATTAGTCGTGCGTTGCTTACATATTCTGTCCAAGAATGTCGTTCATAAAGCTAATGGCTGAGTAAGGTACCTGTGTCAGGAGTAAATTACGGTATTCAAATTCATAGCCATTGTAGTACAGTAGTAAGGTACCTACTGACCTAAGTTACATCTGTACTGCAGTAGGCTACATGCGGTTTTAAGAAATGTTGGCTACCTGGATACGGCTTTACTGAGATAAATTCGGAATAATCTCAACTTTTCTGATATTGAAATTTCGCCAGTTTTTGTACAATGACAAACTTTTGGTTAGTGGAGTTCTGGACTTTGGGACAATCCTATGCCTGTATACTGGTACCGGTATACCATACAGCAATACGGGTCACTTGTAGTTTCGTACCTAACGTACCGTACTTCGAGTGGGCGTAGAATAACAATTTTTCGATATGTCAATCCTAACCCTCATCTGACTACGCCATCCACAAATTACGTCCCTACGACATCACAATTACGTCATAGAGCTTGCCAAATTACAAATATATGTACGATCGCCCGGTTCGTGTAGTTTGAAGGGCTCTGTTACGTCACTGTGACTTCGTAGTGCTGTAGTGTCGAAATTTTTGGATGGCGTAGTCAGGTGGGGGTTAGAATTGACACATGAAAAATTTATTATGCTACGCCAACTAAAAGTATGTTAGGTACGAAACTACATGAGACCCTACCATAGCCTACTACTGATACTAAATACAGTAATATGACTGTATGGAAAAAAGTTCTTCCTCAATTCAGCAATTTATTCAATAGAAAGTATTTTAATATTTGAATGTAATTATATGGAATTCTGCTTTTCTATTACAGTATTGTGTTACCAAACCAACAATCCACTTGTCCTAGTAGTACCTTAGTATGAGTTCTGTTTGACCATAACATTACCCCTATTCAGTTATACTGTTATATGTAAATCAATTTCTGAATTTAAAATCTTTATCAACTATTATATATATATGTCTTTGCATAATTCTTATGACTGTATGAACGTTTGCTAATCTATCTCCCATATTTCTTATGAAGGGTTTTTAGTAATATCAGATAATCAGAATTTGATATAGCATGAATGTTTCTATAAAGATTGGGCTAATTTCTGAATTTACAGATTTATGGCTAAAAGTAATTCATATTATGATATCTGTATACAGGTATATGTAAGTAATCATAATCTCTAGTTAGGGGTATGTCTTATTGCATGGACTGTCTTTTTACATACATATCATTCAGTATTTGAAAATGAGGGTGCTTGTGGGTTCTAATACTTGTTGAAATAATAATAATGTGAATGCTAGAAAATGGATAGTTCAAAAATAGTCTCATCACAACTAGGATATTAATTATCAGAGCATAACTCGTCAGCATTTGCATGCTGTAGTACTGTAACATTCTGACATTAGTTAGAATATGATTATTCTTGAATGCTGGAAAAAGAATTTAATAATCTAGAACAGCTTTTGAATGACAATTCTGATAAATAAAACCCTTATAGTTGTTTTGCTTTACGTACAGCAATAAATATTATTGTCAGATTCATAGTTGATACACATAATAAATATCCAATAGGTAGCTGTAGACCATTTATCCCTCTCACTCTGACTTGGATGTTAATTGTTTCATCACTGCTGGTTTGTAATCTAAAACCATCCAGATGTTGACTGATTTGTCCACTGTCACTGTAAAAGAAGGATGGCTACAAAAAAGAGGTATGTTTGGAATTTTAGAAATTGGATTCTCATCTGTGTAACGTCTTACGACGGTATAAGAATTATTTATATACAAGTTGAAAAATGCATTTTATAGTATTATGTTTAATCTAACTACGTAGTCATTGTAATGTTTAACATTTAAATTGGCAAATTTTTAAAACTTCTCTAATATCTAAATCTAATATCTCCATCACATCAAATTCTATTTTTATGTTATGTCAAATGGGCACATATAGCCTTGAGATTGTTGAAATAGAATATCTCGTTCAGACAAAACAGGAAATATTTTATACAAAACAAAACAATATACGGCTAGAGTTTTCTGTTTTTAAAAGTCATATCTGTGGTCAGTCTTTCATTCGAATCATCATTATCACTTGTTAATTTGTCAATCTTTGTCAAAATATATAATTTGGAATCGCATTGATTTGAAAAGACTGTCTATTTTGTGATCCATCCAAATCCATTATACCAATCTTGTTTGAGTGCATATTGGTTTGCCATATTATGATCGTCTTCCTATTTCTTCAGTTAGTACAGAATCCATGAATTTTTTCAATTATTTAAAAATTGAGAAAATTTGTCAACTTTAATATTGTATCCATGAGTTTCAGTATTGTAGGACAATTTACACAAAAGTTATGTTCTATCTTGAATATGTTCCAAATTACCAAAGTTCTGCCATGTACGAGCTTCTGTGTCTTCACTTAAAACAAGTATCTTACTCTTGTTTTATATTTAAATATAGGTGAATATATCAGAAACTGGCGTCAAAGATATTTTGTATTGAAGACCGATGGATCTTTTCTTGGATACAAGGAAAAGCCAAGTGAAGATAATCACCAAGAACCTTTGAATAACTTTAGTGTATTGAGTAAGTTGAATATTTATGCTGTATTGTTTTATTTTGAGCAAGTTTTGGATGTTCACTGATTTTATCTGATCTATAACATATGTGTGGTTGTGTATGGTTTTATTTAACAAAGATTTGTTTTATATTTATAGACAGTTCTAGGGAAAATATTGTGAAATATTTAATTATGCCCTCATTACTTGCCTAAAAGATTTGTCCATCATATTTTTTCAGAATCACAACTTATGAAAAAAGATCAGCCTAAAGAAAACGTGTTTGTTGTAAGATGTTTACAATGGACAACTGTTATAGAGAGAACTTTTAATGCTGATTCAGCACAAGAAAGGTGAGTCATCATTACTGGTGAGGATTTATGTAATCAAATAATGCAATGCATTTACATACAATTACTATTGTGACTCGCATTAAAATCTTTTTCAATTCAAGTTGAATCCCGCAGTTTCTATCCTACCTAGTACAGATGCAAAATTTTAAAACTATTGAAAGCTTCTTATGAAATAATGTGCCTGAACTGTTTCTGTTCAATCAAAATATAAAATAATCAATGTTGATAAAATTGCATTTTGTCAAATGTAAACAAGAGCGGTATGATTCTGCATGCTTTGAGTAAGACATTCATTGGAAAAAGACAGCGCTTGCCCATTTCCAATTAAAAATCTTCTCTAAATTAAAAACGAATGTATATGTATGCTTTCATATCTATTCTATATTATTACAATTTATCCAGGGAACAATGGATGCATGCCATTGAAAGTGTTAGCGATAAACTACAACAAACATCCGAGGGTCGAGGATCAGTGGATGAGAATGGCAAAAAGCCAGCTTCACTTAAAGTTGTAAGTTCATAGTATATGCTTAGCTAAACAACCTAATATGGATGTCAAAGTATTGAAAAATTATTGCTAATCATCAGTAATTAAGGAAGATAAATACAGGTAATAACTCAGGTTATGAAAATAAGTGGCTAATCTCGGATTTCAATTCTGCGTGCCTTCTATCAAGTCATTTCTTATTTTTGTGCTTAATTAATAATATTAATGCTTTGAAACCCATACCAAAAGATGGCCATTGGTTCCTAATGACAGAAGATCCCAAAAAGTCTATTAATGAAAAATTTAACATACGCGACTTTGTTTTTACTGCGGCAATACACAGCTTCAAGATTAAATTGATTATTATGGTCAAATACCTTGTGAGTTATGATAGGTATAAGAACTATTAGCTAGACCAGGGTTGGTGAGCCACTGACCAGCGGGGCACAAAGTGGCCCCTGATGTATTTTCAGTGACCCCGAAGTCCGCAATAACTAGTTTTTAAGTGATGAAAACTTTGATTTAATATCCATAACCCATCGTCTCCAATTACACAAAAAAACATAATTTTTGTCCCATTTATTACAAATGGTTCGCCATTCCTTAGGCTAGAGTCATTTTTTGTGTGTATAAATTTATTTAATGACCGTCTCCACCTCATTACAGACACTCACCGATTTTGAATTCTTGAAAGTACTTGGGAAAGGTACATTCGGAAAAGTGATTCTCGTGAAAGAAAAATCAACAGATCAGTTTCATGCTATGAAAATATTAAAGAAAGAAGTTATTGTAGCAAAGGTAATTTCGTTTTTTATACTAATTGACAATTTTGGTTATATATGCAGTCGTCACTATATAATTTCCATACTTTGAAAATTTGATCTACCGGTAATTACCGGTACTCAGTTCTGAGGTTTGTTTTGACAATCTGATAAAATATTAGTCTAATCTATGCTTAATTATAACATGTTTCAAGGGGTGGTATGTTTTTTGCGCTGGTGAAGTTTCGATCGAAATATATGAATTAAAATGACGTATTATATATCCTGGTAATTGAAAAAATAATTCTCAAAATAATAGAAGGTAGGGAACAGGAAAATGCTGTAAACAAGCTGTTTTTAATGATTTTGATACATTATCATGTAGCTTGATTCATTACCCCCCCCCCCCCCCCCCCCCAATTTCGGGAATTGTGACATACGTTTTTTTGGCTCAGTTAATCATATTGTCAACCTATTCTTCATGTTTTCCATTTTTTCTTATTGTTTTTTTTTCATCTGTATTTTTCTATACTTTGTACTCTGACTTTACATTTATTATCGTCCAAATAGGATTATTCTGAGTTCTGACTCATGATAGCTGTTTAGTTAATTGTTAATATAAAAAGGTCAATTTCAGTGATTTTTGATGAAGTCAAATAAAGTTTTTATTTAATGGCAAGTCCTCTGTATATGTGGTTTTATTAGGAGAAATAAACTTTTAATATAAATGTTTTCACCATAACATGAAACGACCATCAAATGCATGTGAAGAACATGAGACCATACCTTAAAAAAAAAAACGTATGTCGTTTGTAAAGCATCCTTTCTTTGAAATAATAGGAAATTCAATTAGGGAATACTTCCATTCCCATCTAAGGAAAATGATTCAGTAACTACCAGACAAATAAATTTTATGCCCAGGTTTTTTTCAAGAACTTCTTGTGTGGAATTCACCACCTGATAGCTGCTGTTTTTCTGATCATAATATGGACATTATTAACTGCTTTAATTAGTATTTACGCATGCACAATTCTACAAATACAATAATTTGTAATCTCAATAGCTCTTGGCAATTTAGTATTCGTCCATAAGTTTTCTCAGAGCTTAATCTCATTTATTTCTGAGTTGAGTGCAAGTGACCTTTTCTTAAGAAAATTTTTTTTATTAATAAAGTATTTAATAAGGAAGAGGAATTTTTAATCTAACAACTATAATTCAGCAAGTTAGTTCATAAGCCCACTTTGTGTCCGAAAATTCTGTCAAAAATATTTTGTTCATGGCAAAAAAAATGGAAAGAAATTGTCTGCTTAGCCGATAGCCATTTACAACTGTATTGTGTGAATATTGTTTTTCTTGTATCACCAGTACCTTACTATCCTTGCGAAGGAGTTCATGATAATTTGACCTCTTGTTACTGTACAGTGCAGAATTTGACTCATCCTGTTTCTTAGTCATACGATTCTAATGCCTCAGTTGCACTGCTTTGATGATTTACTGTAATACAGTTAGTTATACCAAAATAGGCACAATAGAGAATGTCATTGCAGTAAGTGCTGGATTGTGATCAAAGTTTCAGTCTCTTGGCATCTGTGATTCTTTGACAATTCAAAGAACTCTTTTCTCACTTGAGTCTTGTAATGGAATCTTTGTCTTTATTGCATGGACTACCATATTACAAGCCATTAGTCATTAAATGGGTCATGCATGTTAAATCCATGCTCTGTTTAAATTCATCGATTTAAAATTCTTCCATTTTCTTCTGCATTTAGTGTCTTTATTTTGTGTTATTCAAACCCAATAAGCAAGCATAATCATGAGATCTGGTCTGCTAGCTTGTGATAATGTCCTATAACAATCATGCCTCATACTTATTTCAAGTTATTCAAGTCATACAATCATTGGCTTCCCATGATTAAACATAGCCCTGAGCTATTTGTGACCTTGGTCAGTAGGGTTGTCCAGCGAATTTAGTTCAAAAACAATAAGATTTGTCTATAATTTATGCCAGAGAAATATACTGTTTTATTATAAAATATATCTATTTTAAATCGTGTTTCTAGTGTAAATTGATGATAAGCTGATAAACTTATTAGCCATATTTCAGATAATAGAATTCAAATAATTTCAAATAAATTTTGTTATGGTATTCTGATTTTATTATCACTTGGTAAAATTGGAAACTTTATTGTCATAGAGGTTTTTGACTGGCAGGGATAATTGGTTTGGTACATATTGACCAGAAGGTATTTTACTTTTCTCACTACCCCCACTCTGTCTAGGTCTATCACAGCTAAATCACCAATTTAGTGAACTATATCAAAAAATTTGGTGGATATTTGCAGTGTCCACTATATCCGAATTTTCAGACCAGATTTAATGCTTAACCTTAAATATTAAAGTATTACAGTCAGGTCATTGATTCAGTCCTGCATTTCATCCATTTCAGTTAATTGTTCGACCTAACCAGTTCTTTTCATAGTTTTGTTATTGAGAATCATGCCTTGACCCCATATGGCATCCTAGTTAAGTTCGAGAGAAGGTAAATTTGTACAAATAGCCAGCAGCAATGAAATATGAACATGTCATCAGACTATTATATGTTTGACGAGGTTTCGTATTCACATCGTCACAAATTACCAAGTCTGTCTTACCATAGACATAGATACTGAAATTCACATTGGATGAGTCACTATGTCATATTCCAGAGCTGCTTTAATACTACAAGTCATTTCTATTGCTGGTTAAGTATCGGATAATCCTTCTTGTTGATGATAAATTCCTTGACTAACAGATATTGTGATGAAACATTGGTTTATGATATGTAGAACTATGAATTCTGGAGATTATGAATTAGTCTGATAAATTTGTTACTTGTGTGGCAAGTGGAGTCTGAAATGACTTTTACCACCATATTATTACTTTGTTTCGTCAACACCGGAATTTTCATTCTTTATTCAATTTTTTAAATCTTTTCTTGTAGACATGTTAAATGGCAAGGTGTTTTTGTGTTTGCGAATTTATTTTCAGTTCTTATAATTCCAATATGTGATGAATGAGACATTTGAGATATTGACAATCAGTATTTCAGGTTTGTTGTTGTGCCTTGATATTATCTTTTACTCCTGGACTAGTAATTGCTATGAATTTTCACCCTGTGAGAGTTGCCACACTAACTTGAAGCCAAGGCAAACATTGTAAAAATTACACAGGCAATGTACGTGGTGACCTAAAAACAGAACCAAGGTCAATCAGAACATATTCTGAAAGGAACATACTTTTTTTGTGCAGATTGTCCTAAATTACTGAAACTCATGTATACAATCATACACAAACATAATTTCAACTGTAATAAATAGATAATTTTTTTTCATTTTCGTAAAAGAAATTAAGAAATTCATGGGTTCTCTCTTTTGGATCACCCTGTATGAGTGCATATCCGAATAGGCCTATAACAGATAGTAGCAGGAATTTTTGATGATGTTGACTAATTATCTGATAGTGGAAATAATATGTTCATTAGTTTAGTAATATAAAAGTTTGTGTTGGACAATCGTGAGCTAATTGTCTGAATATAAAATTTTCATAACATCTGTATTGGAAACGTCACTGTGATTGATTAAAATCAAGTTCAGCTGATTTATACCATACCGGTTGCTATATTGCACCGATATTTCTACAAATCGTACCTGATTTTGATTGCTGAGATAACCATAAGGTTGTTTATGTCATTTTATGATAGAGATGCTTTATTGCCTATCCTCTCTCTCAGGAATGAACAATTTAATGATACTAGTCGAAATATTAGGTATAGATGGGATAGGATTATCATATTGGCCCCAATGAGTGGAAAGTCAATAGCATGGCTTAATCATATTTCAAACTACTGCTTCTCATAGTTTCAATCACTTATTTGTTTCAGGTACATGGACTTGATAAGAAAGAAACGTAACCGACCACCATTTACTTTAACCACCCAACGAAATATTTTTCATGCCAACAGTTCGAAGGGGAAGTTCTAAAATTTAAATTGCCCCAATTACCAGTGTCAGTTGATATGAAATAAATTAATAAATAAGGTTATAAATGCAATTTATAATATTGTAGCAAATGATCTGTTATAGTATCACTGCCTGCATTGATCTCATAAATGCATTAGCGATGAATTAGTGACCTGGGTTTTGCCTCTAATATTAAATACATTGGTCCATTCAAATAGAACATCCGCTTTCAAAGCTTACATTCTTAATTTTCTTCAGAACCTATTTAATAACTTGTAATAGACCCTATTACCTGTATTGAGATGAGAAGTGGCCTTTCATGATTCATGCGTCCCATAGCTTTGCTAAATACAACCTACGTGTTACTTCCTGACAGATTGTATATGTTTGACAAACGTAATAATTTGTCTTAAGGCTTTTGATTCACTATAAAATAGAGTAGAAAATGGATTAGGTTGATTGTCGAAGGCATATTCAATTTTTTTCATTATTTGATAATTACCGTAGTAATGAAATCGTGATTTTTATATGAAATTCTTAGCGTTATTATGATTTCTACTTCGAATTTTTTTTTGTATCAAAATTTATTTCAATTCATCAGTATATTTAGATATGAACAGTGACTTTTACAGGTATCGTTACACCTAGTATTCATTTCACATTTGAATATTTATGTGTATTCAGTTTGGATTTGAATTTTGACGTACCTTTCTAGTTTTGAATTACATATTCGTCATTATCTTTGACACAATGTCATTATCACACAGTCCTTTCACATTAAGCAATACATAAAAATTCTATACAATAGAAGTCTGGATTTTACAGCAACAGATTAAATGCATGAAATGCACTTATTTACTTTGATTCTTACATCATTGCATCTAATAAGAACATTAGAAATATTTTATTTCATTATTATTACACAGGATGAAGTGGCTCACACACTGACAGAAAGCAGAGTTCTGCAGACTACAAGGCATCCATTTTTAACGGTAAATATTTCAGTCATTTTATTTGTTTTGATATTTTTAATTCTTATTCAGGTATATTGGTTTATTTTCAAAAAGTGAACCACACATTTGTGCTCTGAACAAGGCAATGTACAAGCAAACACTGATACATGCAATTACCACTAGGTTATGAAAGTACAAAATCTTCCACATGTAATATATCATACTACCACGGCTGCTAGATCGAGCTTTGTTGTCACAGACTGGTTTCATATGTATAACCATATTAAATATAAATAAATAAAATCATGCATTGATACGCAGTATGCTACTATTCTCTAATATCAATCAGTTTAATGATTTTATTATATAAGCTTAGAAGATTCAGTGTATTTATGTTTCTCAATCATATGAGATATGACCTATCAACTATTTCAAAATTTCGAATAAGAAGTTTATTTATTACAATATGGGAAAGTCATGGATGGGTTTGATTTCCTAATATGCTTAATTTCATATCCCTTTCATCGCCAAAATATTTTCTTCATGTTATAGTTAAAATACAAGCTAATAGTTTCCTTTTACAGCCATTATAAAATTAATTCTTATATTCTTGAAGTGCACTTGCAAGATGTATGAAGTACATTAATCCGTGATACATCAATGCTATTTTGTTAACTGTAGTACATTGGGTTGTTTGAGTGGGTGATTGTTGTCATTCCGTGTGTGTTCTGCACCGCTTCACCTGATAATCATTTGCCAGTTTCTGTCTAAACATAGTGACTCATTGCCGGCCTTCTGTTACCTTATGTTCAGTTGCGCTGGTCTTTGATTTATTCAATGCAGTCTGATATATGAATTATGTTATGTTACATACCAAGTGAGTATATATTGTAACGAGGCGGCACATTTTTTGGTTGGAAGAAAGGCATATGATTTTACATTTGATGATTATGTTTGTTTGTATTACTCGATAACAAAAATATGCCTAATTAACCAACTATACTACTATACTATATCATATCATATATAAATTTTATATGATGAATCAAATAGTTAATTGGATTTGAAATTTGGTTATATCGATATTTGATTTGATTTGAAGTATTTTTTGGAATATTTTTGTCTGAAAATTTAGCATATTGGAAAATAATAGTAATACATCACTAATTACAATTTTTATAATTTAACAATGATTTTGGCAATTTCCCTTTGCACTCAAATCAATTTCTTAAAATAATATATCACAATATGTTTTTTTCAATTTTGTTATCCCTAGTTTAACAGTAAAGCTGCAACATACTGTATCTGGTAAATTATTAAATTTGGTTTTACCTTGATGTTTTATTCCTATATCCCTTTTTGTATCAGTTTTTCTGGTGTGTTTTCTATTATTCTTTTTGGTTCTGATATATAAATAATATATATTTCTTTATTTCAGTCTCTCAAATATTCATTCCAGACAAAAGATTACTTATGTTTTGTAATGGAATATGTAAATGGAGGAGAGGTAAATATCAGTTTGATTATTTTTGTATCTGATAACAAAGTAAATCAGTATTAGATATCGAAATATGTTTGTCAGTGTATATATTTTTGTTTTTTAATCTTGTACTTCTCCTAGATATATTTCATGAGAATGTGAAAAAATAAAATTTTTTGTGCATGAAACAAGTGTCCCAAACCTACTATTTTCTCGCTAGATGAAGTTCAATTTGTTTGTTTAGTTTGGTGTATTTGACAATAATTATGTTTTGTGTGGGGGAATGTTATATAGCAGGGATGGCGAACCACTGACCCGCGGGTCACAAAGTGACCCACCGCGTTTTATCAGTGACCCGCAAAGGCACGAATAAAATTTAAAAAATGCTAACATATCAGTAATAAAAATTTATAAAACCGGCCTTGTATTAATTTAACAATTAATAAACTATTATAATGTACCGTCAGTTGGGCAGTAGGGCTGCGATCGCTCTTATTCAAATGTGGATTCAAATGGACGCATGTTTCAATGTCTGTGCCGCTGTGTACCGTTATTCATTTATTGGCTCTGACATCGTTTATAAAATAACAATGCCATTAATCTGTTCATTTCTCGCAACGTCTTGTTTTTTCCATATACTGTTTTAGGGGTTATACGAAAACTAGATGCTACTTTACATTTTATTAGTTTCTCGCCTACAATGCCATTGAGAAAACAAAATATTTCAAACTTGAAATAAAAACCTAGAAATCTGAAATAACAATTGGGCAGTGTAAAAGTGTCTTAATGTGGCTGAAAGCTGATCAAAAAATATAACACTATCAGAGTGGAATTCCCTCCAACTCTTTGAAATAATTTGCCGCATAATCATAAACATTTTTGGTAATTCATATGCATTATTTCGTACTCTAAGTTCATAAAATCGAGTGCCATATAAAGTCCCCGATAGAAGTGTTGCATAAGTAATGCCCAAAACTACACCAACACCAATAAAGCTTATAAGATTTGTTCCAGAAGTTTCATAATTAAAGATACAAACATTGATTAAGTAACTGTGACCCACTCTCTTCTGTTACGCTATAAAAATATAATTTTTGACCCATTCATTGAAATAGGTTCGCCATCCCTGTTATATAGCTTTACAAAGTATAATGATCAATTTTTTAGACTTTATAGACACCCTTTATGGTAGATAATGTTATATGAAAACCATGGCATGTTCTTAATGTGACACTATATCTATATATTATATTTTTCCAAATCGTTTATATTTTTAAGGGAAGTTTTTCTAAGAATTTTGACAGCTACTTTTTGAAATTTTAATGAATTGGAATCAGCACGTATTCAAACTTCCCTCAAGCAGTAATTAAATGGGTAGTTTTATAACCCTTATTCTTTCATACAGATTTTACTCGTGGCAAAATATGTGAATACCTTTCACCATTAGTTATGGAGAAATTGCTTTTTGTTTATACAAGTATGAGAGTATTCCTGGAAAGCACTATTTCTACATAGCATGTGTTTGACAGATTTTTTATTTATTCAAAGACTTATACAGATTTAAAATTTTGATGTCTCGAGTATTTTATGCTTCGCATACTTTTCCAATTTCAATCTTCATCAACCCGATAAATGCTCAGTCATTGTTGCCCATTATGATGCAATTGTTGTTCAACAATAAACAATTATTTTTTTGCGAACTCAAATAAGTTCTTATTTGTTCGTGTAATAAACATTTAAAAATTGATTTGCTACATGAATGAACTTTTCATAAGGGGATCTTTGATATTTTATTTGACGCAATAATAAATACAAGCCATGATCAGTGGATCATCATTATGCTAAGAATAGAATTCTTTTGTTTGTCATTTATGCAATGCAGGGATGACCTCACAGTCTTACCTTATACTTCATGTGATAATTGGTTTACATAATTATAATGGTGATAGTTCTTACAGAATTAGAATTTGTATTATCTAATGTGGAATAGTTGAATAGCTTGAAATTCCATATGCGTTTGTGACTGTATGTGTTGATGACCATATTGTTGATTTCGAAAATCTGTTATCCATTACTTTAATAAACTCTTTTTAAATTTATTTTGAGGAAAAATTACAATACTGCTGTTGCTGTCAAACAATGCCCTGGCCCCTGATACATAATTCACTGCTATAAATCATTTTAGTTTTAGTATTTTTTGGTATTTTTGTGGTTACCTTTAATTTTTTCTCTGAGATGATGAGTGAATTGACATGATCTTTTTACGAGTGATTTATTACTTTAGTAAAAACAAGCTATTTTTGTGCAAAATATTTTGTTATATCATGTTTTGATTTGTCACAAACACATAGGCGACATGATCCACTGTTTTTCGGTGTGTCCAGGAAAATACTAGGTGTAGTTTTGAAACAAACATTCATTAATAGAACCTATTAATAACAATAAGTACTGAAAATATGTCATATGATTTACCTGTGCAAAACAAGCCTCGTTCAATACGAAACTGCTTTCTGAATACACTTGTTTTTCCCGCCATCCATCTACTCCTATTCAGACTATAAATAGCATATTGGATTGACAATTGTTTTATCTTTGGTCCATCATTGACCGAATAACAATTGGTATTGAATTAGTTAACCAGCGGACTTGCTTTATATGTGTAATCTGCTTGGCCGCTCACCATATTCATTTGGTATGTTTGTGAATGATTACACGTCAACGTCATTTTCTCTGTAATAGAAAAACAAGGTTGATAGCTTCTGAGAATTCCACTTCAGGTTTTAGCTCGTTTTCAAATCTTGTTTACTTTCTCTGAGTCTTATTCAAATAATATTATTGTCGTTATATGTCAGAACCGAGAAAAACAAGATGTCACTGTTGTATTGAAAATATGAAATATTTAAAATGTCAAAGTTCATTATTGATTTCCGAATTTATTTGCGTATTGTGTGACGATGTATGAACCTCAAGATACTAAAAATTGAATTCATTGATTAGTTATATTTATCATCTGTAAATCCCCTCTTTAGAGCTACAATTAATTGGTGGTAGCAGATTTGTATATAAATATTTCAAAACTACCAAAATATGCTATTTTTCCATCTTATTATGTGCATTGAAGCATGTTATTGAAAACTTATGAATAGATTACCTGTCTCATCGTGACAATGAGTCCAAATCGGGAAGTTTAATACATTGTAAATAGGTTATATTCAATATTACAAATTCTTGATCTTAGGATTAATTCGAAATATATAAAAATTTATTGCTCAGAGCTGTTGACACTCAGATCAGAATTAAGCTTGATTTAGCATGTAATAACTGTATGAATAGAAAATAAGCTTAATTTGACATGTGATACTGATAACTGTATAAATAGAAAAAGAACTGATCAAAGCATTGTTCATTTTATATTGTTATGTTGAAAGTCTATGAATATACAATTATTTTTGCATGTTCCGTGTTGGAACAATTTAAAAATATATGGATGTTATATCATGTCCAAAATATCATTCCAAAATGTTTTTGGAATAATAAACTATTCTGTTTTTTTTCACCATTTCTTCGACCATGTTACTTTTACTGGCATGTCGTGACAGTACAATCAAAGTTGCGTTTTAAGGATTTAGGAAAATCCTGTTTTTGCAATGGTTCGGTTCTAACAGCCAAACCTAAAAATGGAGTAGTAGCACTAGTTAATTCTTCTATTATGTTTTTCAGATATTTTTTCACTTATCACGAGATCGTATATTTCCTGAAGACAGAGCGAGGTTCTACGGAGCAGAAATTGTATCAGCACTCGACTACTTGCACAAACAAAATGTTATTTATAGAGATTTAAAGGTGATGGCTGTGTGACAATTTAAATCTTAGCTTATGATGCTTCCATATTCATCAATACTTTTATAATGTTGGATTGGTATATATATCCAGGGGAGATAAAAGCCAATAAGACTGCCTAATCCTATGGCGTACCAAGACCTCTCATCCAAATGCCAGTCCATGTCTGGTATGGGATTAGTTAGCCAGGTATTTGTATAAGGTGCTTGGACTTGATGGTGGAGAAACCGTTATTGACCAGCTGTTATGTGAACCACCCTACGGCATCAAGTACTTCAGCAATGCTCTCGCATATAATTGTCTCACTCACGGTTTGAACCCATGTACGGTAATAAGAGGAACGATGGCCTGATGTACATTCTATTTTTACTATGGTCAAAACTTCCAAACTTGCTATGTTTGTACCACTACTATTCCTACCATTTTATTCGTTACTAGATTCTAGTAGATTGCACAAGAAAACAACTTTTAAATTAACTCTGAATACATTTCAAACATTTCCCCTGGTACATTCTCCAAATTCTACATTTTGAAATTGAATGTCTTCGAAAATGAAGACAATTTTTAGAAATGATATAGCCTGAGATGTTCAAAATATGACCTGAATAATTGGATACATTAGAAGTTGGTTATAAATATCAAATCAAATTCATAATTTTATGAATTATTTCGAATATTTTTGTTTTAAAATTTGCTACTCTAAGCAAGCATTCTTCTGTTGACTGTTTGCTGAGTCAGAGAAAAATTTTATTTTATTCATAACGCTGGGAAAAATAGAAAATCGAAAACATTGTTTTTTTGGCGCTCCACATGTGTGTGTACCAATATGGAGGTAACTAATTTCGTTCGCCTACTTTACATCAAGTTGTGTAAAGGGATTGAAACCTATGTGCAGGGGGATATTCACTTGGCTAACACAGACAGAACTCTTTAATCAATAGAACTAGAAAGGGGAAAATTAAAATAAAATTATGGCCTAACCTTAAACTGGTACACACACTACAGGAGTACGATATTTTTTCATATCGAACATGTTTTCATTTACAATATATTGGATATTCCATATTCGAAAATATTATTTCATAATGTATTCAGAGTATCAACCATTCTTCTATGTAGCATCCATTTCATTTTAAATAACAGAACAATATTCACCATTTGGTTTTTTTTTTAACCTTTCTTCAATAACAATAATATTTCTCAGTATTTAATAATATAATTCAACTGAATCATATTTCACAGCTTGAAAATTTACTGCTGGACAGTGAAGGTCATATAAAAATAACTGATTTTGGTTTGTGTAAAGAAGAAATCTCGTACGGTGGAACAACTAAAACATTCTGTGGAACACCTGAATATCTTGCACCTGAGGTATTGAATGATTCAGTAAAGTTAATATTTGTATTAAAAATTATTATATCTATATTCATATAGATTA